CCCAGGATCGGGCAGTGTTTCATTCTGCTGTGCATAAGGTCACTATGAGTCAGTACTGACTCAATGACACCTAAGAACAACAACAAATGGGTAAAATATTGAAGGATGCAGAAAACATCAAAAAAAGATAGAAGAAATGCAATCACTGTACCAAAAAAAATTGTTGATGTTCAACCATTTCAAGAGGTAGCATATCATCAAGAACCAATGGTACTGATGGAAGAAGGTCCAGATGCACTGAAGGTATTGAAGAAAAACAAAGCTCCAGGAATTCATGGAATACAAATTGAAATCTTTCAACGAACTCACACAGCACTGGAGTCATTCACTTATTTATGCCAAGAAATTTGGAAGACAGCTACCTGGCCAACCGATTGGAAGAGATCTGTATTTGTGTCCATTGCAGAGAGGTGATCCAACAGAATGCTGACATCATGGAACAATAATCATTAGTATCTCATGCAAGTACAGTTTTGCAGGAGATATTTCAAAAACAGCTGCAACAATACATTGGCAGGGAATTGGTAGAAGCTTGAGCATCGGGACTTGGAATTAGAGATTTCATTGCTGATGTCAGATGGATCTTGGCTGAAAGCAGAGAATACCAGAAATGTTTACTTGTGATTTATTCACTATGCAAAGGCTTTTGAACTATGTGGATCTTGACTAGCTATGGAAAACATTGTGAAGAATGGGTATTCTAGAACCTTTGATTGTGCTTATGAGGAACCTGTGCTTAGACCAAGAAGCAGCTGTTTGAACAGAACAAGGGATACTGAATGGTTTAAAATCAGGAAAGGTGTGTGTCATGGCTGTATTCTTTCATCATACTTATTCAATCTGTATGCTGAGCAAATAATTTAGAAGTTGCACTATATGAAGAAGAGTGTTGTATCTAGACTCCTTAACAACCTATGATATGTGGATGATACAGCCTACTTACTGAAAGCTTAGAGGACTTAAAATACTTACTGGTGAAGATCAAAGATCATAGCCTTCAGTATGGATTTTACTTCAATGTAAATGAAACAAAAATCCTCACAACTGGATCAGTAGGTAACATCATGATAAATGGAAAGAAGATTGAAGTTGTCAAAGATTTTGTTTTGCTTGGATCCTCAGTCAACACTCCTGAAAGCAGCAGTTAAAAAATCAAGTGACATGTTGCATTAGGCAAATCTGGTGCACAAGACCTCTTTAAAGTGTCAAGTGCAAAGATATCTATTTCAGGACTAAGGTACCCCTGACCCAAGTTGTGGTATTTTCAGTTGCCTCATACACATGTGAAAGTTGGACAATGAGTAAGGAAAACATAGAATTGATGCATTTGAGTTATGGTGTTGAAGAAGAATATCAAAAGCACCATGGATGGCCAGAAGAACAAACAAATCTTATTGGAAAACATACAGCCAGAATGCTCCTTAGAAGCCAAGATGGTGACACTTGTTCTCTGATATGTATTATTAGGAGAGAGCAACCCCTGGAGAAGAACATTATGCTTGGCAAAATGCACGTCAGTGAAAAAGAGGAAGACCCCCAATGAGATGGATTGGTATAGTTGCAGCAGCAATGGTCTCAACTGTAACAACAATTGTGAGGATGGAGCAGGACCAGGCAGTGTTTCATTCTGTTGTACATAGGGTCACTATGCATCAGAACCCACTCGACAACACCAACAAACAACAGTTAGCTAGTAAATTAGTCTCATACTTTGGACATATTGTTAGGAGGAACCAGTCACTGCAAAAGGACATCATGCTTGGAAAAGTAGATGGTCAGTGATACAGATGAAGACTCACAGCAAAATGGCTTGACACATTGGTTGCACCATTGAGGATGGTGCAGGTCCCAGAATTGTTTCATTTTGTTGTGCATAGGGGTCACTATGAGTCAGAACTCGACGGCACCTAACAGTAACAATAGTGATCAGTAGCAGGACATGGTTGATAGGGGAAAAAAAAAAACAAAAAACGTAATAGACATGTATATGTAGTTTTCTTAACTATAAATTAAATGTTTATGTCTGTCCTTTTTTACTAAGTAACCAAAAGAGTAGATTACATGTGAGAACATATTTTACTAGGCATACATAATGGAGTTGGACTACTATGGTCTGTTTCTCAGATAACAAAGCCTTGTAGGGATTCAGGCCCCATACAACTAATCAGTTGTAGAGGTCAGTTTTTACATAGCTCATTCATTTACTGCTGCGAATAATGAGCTGCAGTGTTGCTTAGTGGCAGGTAGCAGATGTTGATCTTGAGGCTGTTAACGTGAAAGCTGTGATTAGAGTTGCCATAGAGTTGTTGTTGTTATTGATAATCATTATTTCTTTTGGAATTTATCACAGTTTTCTAAATTCTCTAACCAGCTCATATAGATTATTAAAGCATATTGTGTAACGTTTTTCCCCTTATCATTTTTCTTTCTTTTTTTTTTAACTAATAGATTAACTGCCTAAGGAATTGTAAGACTTATCAAGCCAGAAAACCTCTATGGTTTTATAACACTTCCCTCAAGTTTTTCCTTAATAAACCTATGCTTGCTGACGTTGTCTTCGAAATACAAGGTATGGTTCAACTTTTACCAAGTCTAAAATTGTTCAGTTTTATTTCTTATTTTGTTTCCTCATTTGGAGTTGCAGCTGTAAAGACTTTGAGAAGAAAGGATTCTTCTTTATTGTAGTGTGTAGATAACACTGCCTGAATTTCAACACAATTTTTCAGGGAAATAAAAATATTTTTTTTTTCTTTACCATAGCTTCATTAACTTTTAAGGTCCAAGAAGGGTTGGAGTTGTCTGTGTTTTATCATTATAAATTTTTTGTTTATTTCTTAAGCTCCTAGTTTTATGATTCAGCTGAAGCCAGCCCCCTTAAAATTGTTTTGCTGTTTTTGGGTGCCTTCAAGTAATTTTTGACTCATATTGGCAAAATAAAACTGCCCCATAGGCTTTTCTAGAATGTAATCAGATTGCAAGGAACCCTAATGTGTAGTGGGTTAAGCATTGGGCTGCTAACCACAAGGTGGACAGTTCAAATTCACCAGTCACTCTCTGGAAAAGTAAAATGAGGCTGTCTGCTCTTGTAAAGATTTACTGTCTTGGAAACCCCACGAAGCAGTTCCACTCTTTCCCATAGACATTCTATGAGTCAGAATTCACTCCATGGCTATGGGTTTGGTTTGGTTTGGTTTAATCCTGTGGAATAACTGATAGGTTTGAACCACTATCCTTTCAGCTAGCAGTCAAGGGCTTAACTGTTTGCATCACCATGGACCCTTAAAATGATATTACCGTTATTGCTGTTAAGTGCTATTGAGTCACTTCCTGCTCATTGTGACCCTCTTATTTCCAAGGAGCATCTGGTGGATTTGAACCTCTGACCTTGTGGTTAGCAGTTAGTGCTTATCCTACAGTGCTACACCAGGACTCCTATCTTACCTTTAGCATATTTAATTTAACTCTTTTCCTTTTTGTATGAGCAAAAGGAACTAATCATGTGTTGAGTTTCCTGCCTGGCCTACATCAGGCCTTCGTACTGCTGCATTTACTCCTCACAAATCCCCTCACGCTTAGAATTGTTATCACCATAGCAACCGAGAGCTGCTGCTTATCTCTGTCGGAGAGTGATACTACCTAATTGTAATAAATATGAGCGGTTTTAATGCCCTTTTGTCACTGTAGTACATTAAAGGCGTAACTTTAAAAACTGAATTGCAGATGCCTACAATTTTGCAAGAAGGATAGAATTTGTTTCCAGAGTAATTGAGTAGGACTTCAGATGGACTCTTACTCAGAAGGTAATTTTGTGGTAGAAATGTGTGACAGCTAACATAGTTGTTTACTTTTGCAAACCTCTTCCCAGAGAGATTCACTTTGCTTTTAACCTTGGTCACTTGCCAAAGCAAGCCGTGAATTGGAAATTTCCCAAACGTGCCATCTACAAAGCTCCTGCCAGTACTGTATGCATTGTGAGCCTGCAACACTGAGAATGGAACAATAAGACACCTTGATATACACATAAATGATTTGAAACAAACAGTGCTAACTGGAGAACAGACTTTATGTAACCCTTCCATCATTTTAGGGCACCCTACAACACCAACAACAAATCTGACTTGATTTAGTTGCCCCCAATATTTTCACTTCAGAAATCCTGTATAGGGTCGCTATCAGTCGGAACCGACTCCACGGCACATAACCAGAACAACAATATTTTCACACTCTGATATACTAGTTGCTAAAATAAAAATCCAGTTGGTTTATCTAAAAGCCAGCTCTCATAAATTATTCATTAGAGGTAGAACAAGCCTTGTCAGGGATTACAGAATCCCTTCATTAGCTTCTAGGAGAATAAATTGTATTGATGAAAGTGTTTACTAATAATGCCTGGTGTCCATAACAGGAAAAGAGCTGGACATTTTTCATAAGCCATTTAATAAACTTCACATTCAAACAGAAAATAACCACATTCACTTTGAGAATAAATATAATTAGTAATTCAGAATGTAGATCTATCTTTCCAAAATAAATAATAATTAAAAAGTGCAGTTTAGAAAGATGGAATAATAGTTTCTGTATTCTGAACAGAAGGTGACAGATGCCACAGGAGATGGTGGAGTGCTGTTTTTCAAACAACTTCCTGGGTGCACTGGGGTCTGCCACACTGGTGTTTAAGGTTGATTAAATTCTTACTCAGCAGGATCAAACAGATAGGAATAGAATGAGGACATCTTTCCTGAATCTAAAACATACAACCAATCAATGGCTGTCTAGTTAATTCTGAATCATGGCAACCCCATCTGTTTCAGAATGAAACTGCGTTCCTGAGGGTTTTCAGTGGTTGTGAGTTTTGGAAGTAGATAACTAGACCTTTCTTCAGAAGTGCCTCTAGGTGAATTTGAACAGCCAGCTTTTCAGTTAGTAGCCAAGTGCTTAACTGTCTGCACCACCCTAGACTCGAATATCCTCTACTCTGTAATAGACAGTAGTGTTCTTATTAATAAGATGGAATATCTTTGACCTTCCTGGGTGGTGTTAGGAATAAACACTGCTAGCTACTGCTTCTTCGGCCTGGGCTGACCAACTTCTTACCTTTTACACAGTATTTTCTATAAATGAGGCACCATATAATTACTTGCTTCCTAAATTAGAATCATGTTCTAGTCCACTGCCTTTTTGTCTAAGTCACCTTGATTGATGAGATGGGTGTTCCAAAGTCTTTTTTATCATTTAGAGACAGATGCTTGGGTTGTTTTATAGAAGATTAATCTTGTAGCTTGTATGTATATTTTAGAAGTTTAACTGTAAGAGAGAAACCAAAGTTACTGTAGTCATTAGGAAATTTGCAGTGCCCATTAAAGAAAGGCTCTGTATCGTTCCTTTTCTGTGTTCCCTACAATCCCTAGAAGAGTGACTGGCCTTAAGTGATTACACCTGACCCTGGAACAGCTTGGGTTTGAACTGTGTGGGCCCACTGATAGCAGAAATCTTTCTCTGTTGCTGTTGCAGTGGACACAAGCAGTAGGAGTCTCCACTGAAAATGCCGTGTGACGTAAATCATCTCCACATGAGCATTTTGTCTCTCCAGTAACTGCGAGCCCCCCAACCTTCCACCTCCCAAAGAGGGGAGATGAACTGTTCACGTGGAGATCTCATCACACAGGAAACGGGAAAAATCCATGTGTATGTTAGTCCTGTGCAGCTCAGGCCCATGCTGCAGTTCAAACCCGTGTTGTTCTAGGTTCACCTGTATTGCTATTGCATTAATAATTGTGAATTTGAGAATCAACAACTCATGCACGAATACTCTCCAAAAACGCTTTGCTTTGTAATGAATCCATAAAATGAGAGAAGTTTGTTTTTCTGCCAGAAATGTTAATTATGTAGCAGAGTCTGAGAGCAACATTTCTCAAGAAAGTTGGACATAAATGTGTGACCCAATCTGCTCCTGCAAAGATGTAAAAGCCTTGGAAACCCTATATAGGGTTGCTATGAGTCAGAACTGACTCAAATGGCACTTAACAACAGCACTGTAAGTTAATGAATATAGGGATCGTCTCTTGTCCCCATGTTTTATTTCTTGACTAGTAAATAGTCACAGCATTTGGTTATAATTGGCATCGAAGGCATTAACACGTCGGTATGAGTGGAGATCTTTTCAATGGCTTGCAACAGTAATAATTTGTTTGAAGCGTCAACACCAAACATTTGGAGCTGGAGGAAGTTTAGTGGATTCCTGCCTCTTTCTGGTATTACAATAGGAGCCCATTGTCCTACTGCACAGGGTATGAAACATTTAAAAATTCTTTTCAGTGTATTCACTCTGTCACTTTGGTAATGGCTCAATTAACCAGGGTCCTTACTCTAATGAATAGGGAGAAATGGAAAAAGCAGAGACATCTGAGAGGAGGAAGAAAGTACAGGACTTAGAGAATTGTTGTTGTTAATTGCTGTCGAGTTGGTTCCAACTCTTAGAGACTCTATATAGGATTTCTGAGGAGCGGCTGGTAGGCTTGAACCATTGATATTGTGGTTCAAACTGGATAGCATTACCTGAGTAATAAATAGTTGAATATATATTCATGAAGAAACTATGTTACTCTGATTCTGAAAGTCATATATGGTTATTACATAACAGTATGCGCAGAATGATCCCATTTATAGAAGATATGTCTATTAGGTTTATAAATGTAAAAGAAAGTTTCAAAATGTATTTTAAAAATAGAATAATCTGTAGAACATTGTGAACAATGGTTATCTTTAGAGAATGAACTGGGGATGGTAGTGATTAGGAAAACAGTAAAGGGGATAGATAATGCATAAAGATAAAACCAAAACTCCCCACCCTTACTTCTCCCCAGTGATAATCACTGTGGACAGTTGGGCATATCCCCCTCTAGTCATTTTCCTTCTGCTTAAAAAAGGGCAATAAATACTATCCAATTGAATATCCTTTAGTTTCAAACTTGTGTTATCCCCATTTTGCATGTATTAAAAAAATGTTTCTTAGCATTATTTTAAATGTAGTTATATAGCTAGATAGCATAGTGGTTATGAGTCGGGCTGCGAACCACAAGGTCGGCAGTTCGAAACTACCAGCTGTTCTGCGGGAGAAAGATGAGGCTTTCTGCTCCCGTAAAGATTTACAGCCTCGGAAACCCTGTACAGGGTCGCTATGAGTCAGAACCGACTCCACGGCACATGACAACAACAACAATTTTTCATTAAAGGTGTGAATTTAGTTATTTCCTATTTTCTCAATATTACAAATAAAAACTGCACTGAAGATTTACTGTAAGTATCTCATTCAAAGTTATGATTACTTCCTTGGGATAGATTCTGAGTCAAAGGATTTGAACAACTGTAAGACTCCATGCATATTATTAAATTGTTTATATTCAGGAATATTTTATCAGTTACTGTTTCCATTGATGTATGAGTATTTGTTTCACCATACCACTGTTAGCATTGTTGTGTTGTTGAGTTAGTTCTGACTCATAACAGTTCTGTATAGGGTTTCTGAGGAGCAGCTGGTGGTTTTGAATCTCTGACCTGTGGTTTGCAGTC